AGAAAGCTTTTCACAACCTGTGCAGTGGCTAGATTAAAGTGGAGATTAGAGAAGACCAATCTAACATTTTTATAAGGAAAAACTCTTACTGATTAGGGAGAATAAATTCTGTTCTGAGTCACACAGTGAAATACTGTTGTCATTGCAACTTTTCTTTTGCTTTAAAAACCAATGTAGGGAGAAGGAATTTGGATTTCATTTCAATTTTACTCATAGTACTTTATCCACTGAAGACAATATGTTGTGGTAAAGTTAAAGTTATATTTACTGGTTCAACTAGAGATATCCCCTAGAGATATCAGAGTGCAATTTAAAGATTTAGTCTTCCAATTTTAGTTTGGAGGTCAAGATGGTAGAAAGAACTTTTATGCATTTAATGCATTTTTATGCAAAATAGTCTGTGCCATTACAATCTCTTAATTCCTCTGCATTTCCAAATAAAAAGTGTTACATTATGTGGTTCTCGAAGGGAAGAGAACCTATCAGAAATACTGTGCCAAGGAGAACAGTAGAAAAAAAAAAGACAAAGGCATAGAATTGTAAGAGTCCACTGTGCAGCTTGACTGGAAGCATATAAACCACAGTTCAGGAATTTGAGTGGCACTAGTAGAAAATGGCAAGACTAGGATTAATGCAGATTTAGGAAAAAACTGGCATGTTTTTTTTCTGGGGAAAAGTGTCTTAAGAGTTTACTACCACAGCTGTTTTATCTTAAGAGTTTGTTCATTAGAATCACATTCATGTTCATGAAAGAATAGCTGGTAAATGTAATTGGTCAGCCTCTATATTACATGCAACAACATGGGTGTCAGCATGGGTGAGGCATAGGCGCATGCATTAGATGATAATAGGAACTTGTGTGCATGCAACTGTTCTATATTAGTTGTTCCTTTATAAAAACTGTGACCTGGATATGTATCTCTAGTCATACTGAAATATTCATCCCTATAATTGTGATGCAGGTGGGCATTCTCCTCAACAATGCACATGCATTCTTGATTAGATACCTAGTTTTCTTTTTCTTGCAATCCAGCTAAATATACAATGTTTGTCCAATGCTCATATTCTTTCCATGATTTAAACAAGGCCAGTTTTCAAAAGTGACAGCTGATTAATTTCCCCCAAAAAACCATTTGAGAATTCAGGTGGAGACTATTATTATACAGTAATTCTCTCTCACGCAAACACACATATACACCATACCAACAAATTTTTGAATATCATTTACCTCCCTTTTAAACATCATCCATTACATACTTTTTTTCAACTAGAACATGATTAAAAATTATTGTAGTGTAAGAAAATAATGAGCTATACCCCTATTTGGTTTCTAGAAAATGTATACAATTTAAAAAAAAGTTAACTTCTGTCTCTTCCATTTCTTCAGGAAAAATACTAATCAGAGGTGAAGTGAGTGGGGTTTGTTATACAACTGACCATAGTACCATAGAAGCACTGGGTAAATTGCACCCTAAGTAACAAATAAACCTCACCTGCATAAAATAAACTAGTAGGAAAAGAGAAAAAGAGGACCTGGAAGAAAGTCAAAGCAGTGAAGTGTGAATTGGAGTTAATGTTGATAATTAAGTTTTGAGATCTTGGAAGAGCCACATTATTTTATAGTAAAGCAAATGCTCACAGTATCACTGAGCAGGGCATGCAGCGGGATGCCACAAAGTTTGCACACCTCATCATGGATTTCTAAAACTAGCAGCACCTGAATTATAATTCTGAGAAAAACAGATGAAACAGAACTGCGGCATCTGCAAATTCACAAAAAACTGTAATCTCTGGATTCCTTAGCGGAATTACAAAAAAAAAACCAGTATAATACTTTAGGTTTATTAGGCAGATTTACCTACATTTAAACTGGGACAATCACCTTTCTGAAAACATCTCCAATCAGCTGCAGTCTCCTGGATCAGCAGTCAAGGAATCCAGGTCCTCTCCATCTGGCCTGGCTGTTTCAGCTTAACATCTGACAATGATCTCCTTGCAATTCGAACATTACTTTCCACCTCTTTTAGATTCAGTACTCATCTTTCTCTTTGCCTCCCCACCAGGGTTAGAAAATGTCCTGAACTTACCAAAGTCAGTAATGAACGAGATTGCCTATTCTAACCAAAGAAAACCAGCAACATGCCTTGAAGTACAAAGCAGCTATTTTCTGAGCAAAGTAGGACATGCACATGGAGTATATTAAAAGGGGAGAAAGCCACCCACATGACTTCTGAGGCAAGACTGGTACATTCACATTCACACAGATGGTGGGCGAATGTTCCATCAAGGTATGCAAAAAAGTTCTCATTATGCTCAGTCAGCAGCACTATTCACACTTATTTCCAGCTAAGTGGGTTCAGTATGGCGTTCTTAAGAGTTCTAGAGAGTAGGAATATGTATCAACACAAGTGAAATTCATCTAGAATTGTATCAGTTTATGAAATTATTTAGAAATGCGTTTCTCCCCAGTTACAAACATAAAATGTACCTAGGAATTCTCTGGAACTAGATGATGGCATGAAAATTGTCTCCCCTTGTCAATCAGGACCTGAATGTGTGTATCTCTGAAACAAGATCTAGGCTGATTTTGAGGTCTTTCCAGATAAAGAACATACACACGTATGTACAAATGTATGTATGCAAAGTAAATGTACATCCCCTTGGCTAAAACTGGTTGAATCTAAAATTTGCAACCCCTGCTGAAATACAACCAGTATAGTTAGGTGGTTTCATTATTTAAAAAACAAAAGATTTATAGCTTACTTGTTTCTCTTTACAGACAGACAATGACTGAGACTCAGCTATAACTGTTGAGCTTTCTTTGGAAAAGGAAAACTTTTTCCAGGCCAGTTTTGGTTTGGTTTACAGATAAATTCACAGGAGACATTATTGACACTGGTTAATACCTTCAGATACCAGTGAAACTGTCATTGGTCGAACAGATTAGAACTTCAACTTTCAGAATGCTGGGCAGACTGGAATCCAGGATACTGTCATCCCGTCTTATTTGGAAGAATTTTAAATTGTGGGAGTTATTTTTAAAATGCTCCGTCTTTTGTAATCTTTTTTGGAGAAAAATGTAACATTATTCATGCCCTGACTTTGTCTTCATGGCGAGACAAATCCTTCAAGATTTCCAATTTTAGGTTCCTTTATTAAATAGATCTCTCCCACCCCTGCCCCCCCACCCCCAAAGGCCTTTCCCAGTTGGGGAGAATGGTTTTAATTGATTCAAAGGATGGCTTAGAAAGTGTCTGGCCAACAACTATCATGAACACACAAAGGATTGTTTGGAACAGCTGTCTTCCTGGAAGGAATAAGGGACTGATTGCCATCAAGCATGACTACTTCAGTATCCCAGGATTTCCAAGGAAGAGAGAGATTCTTTCAGTATGACTTACTGCCTTAATCCTGTCAACAGAAATACGAAAAGGCAGGAGAGAAGGTTTCTGAAAATCCCTGGTTTGCCCACTTTACTTTCCATCTCAAGATGGAATCCAACCAGCAGTCCTTTATTCTGGGTCAAACACCACTCAGGAGCCACGTTAATATGAAATTGGCCTTTAGTGGGAAAAAACAAAAGGTTTCATATTGTAGTTAGTTACTTTTTGGAGTTTTACAACCATTCAATAAAGATTCTTTCCAGCTATCTGGAGCTGGGGGACTGGTTTGAAATATCCACACGTGCTGGTGTGAACATGTAGCACTGGTTGGTTGGATGAAGGAAGGGATGCTTTCTTCCTTGGCGTTGTCTCATCCATCAAAAACCGTTTTGTAAACTTAATGTTTGCCTATGGCAAGCTACCTGAAGTGGGAGAAAAGGCTGAGTAAGAATTTCTTATTCTGCTCCCTAATCCACAAGCATGTACTGGAGAGGAATGATCCTTTAGTGAAAAATATTTTAAAAGCGAATTCTAAAGATGTTTCCAGTTATGGCAGCAGTTAGGCAGATAAATATGCCTGTTACTACTATCTCCTAGAGAAAGAGCCCTATGTAGACTGCATGGATTATATGTCCAATATTGCAAACTGCCTGAAAACAGAGTAACCTGCAGACACATTTTGTGTTAAAAGAAAGCGCTTCAGAGAAGAAGCTGGCTTAGAAGAAACGAAGACTACGTTAGAGGATAGTAGTAATTCCAGCACTAAGTTCAGTGTTTTCTGTGTTGGCTCTGAGCCAATAAAAACCCAACGAGCCTAATGTCCTACGTGATGCATTAATTCAGGAGATTAGAGTGGTCCGAATGACAGGACAGATCAGTGTGTGTCACAGTTGGAGAAAGTGCATAGGTTCGGAGGCATGAAAGCAGACATTAGTGTGCATGCATGCAAATATACTTAAGTTGTGAGGATACCAAGAAGGAAAGGAAAGGAATCTGTCTCCCTGCCTAAAACCTAAGTGTAGCAAAACAAAAACGGAAGGGGAGGGGCAGAACTGGAACTGAGAAGAGCAACGGTGACAGCCCAAGAATGTTAGGATCAGTCCTTTTCCTGCTCAGTGTTTGTTGTAAGCCCAATATTTCCCCATTCTCCAGAAAGTAAAGACTTAAGTAATGGTCAGTCCAAGTTACAGCCAAGTTACAGTTAATCTGGAGACAACAAACAATATGATGAAGGAACAGGTAGCGTTCTGGACATTACATTACTTCCTTAGTGTATTTGCAAGTGGATTTGGTTGTTTTTTTTCCTCCCACTAAAATACGTTATCAAAACAGTCGCAAAAGAAGGGGCTGGGAGAGGAGAAATGCCAGTTGGAACTGCCAGTGCAGTAGCAACAGCGGCAGCTCAGCTCAAACTACCTGTAGTGCCTGAGGAAGAAAGGTCAATATTTAAGAATCTTTGTTTTAAAAAAGGAGATAGCACAATGCTTTCTTTCCCCTCTGCCAAAACAAAAAACAAAACAAAACAAAACAAACAAACCAACAATAATAAAAAGAAAATGAGAAAAGGTGGAAAACGATTCTACAAAAAAAAAAAAAAGATCAAATTAGGAAATTAAAAACCATTGCCTGGAAAAAGAGGTGGGCACACTTCACTGGAGGCCTTCGGCTGAGGTGCCTGCATCCCCATCATGGCTGCTGGTCTCAAAATTGTGCTCCACACCCATGATGTCGGGCTCCATTTTGCCACTGTCATTGATGAAGGTTGTGTAGGCGTCGCCTTCAGCCATCAGTAGTTTCAGTTTAGGCATCCAGCTCTTACGGACAACACGTCGTGCATTTGTGCACATATCAGCAGCAATTGCATTCATCTCACTCTCCTTGAAGTTTGGGGCAAAGTTCTGGCAATAAACTGGAGAAAGAAAATGAAGGCTACCTTAATCATGGTTGCTACAGCAGCAATTGGGAACGTTCCCATGGCTCTTAGCCTCTGTTTCAAGCCTCAAGACCTACTCAAACTTGCAAAGACTCAGGGCCTAGTTTAAAACTTCAGCAGGAACTGGGAGAAATGACTAATTTCAAACTTTTAAATCTGGCACTACATTTATCTGTGGTACATAAGCACTACAGATTTTGGTAACTCAGACTATATGCTAGCTAGATTTCCTAGGTATCCAACCTATCTTTCAAGTGGGAAGTACTAATTTGCTCCTATATTTTATTCACTCTCCCATAAAAAATATTTTGAAGAGACACTCACACTTCACAGCATGCAACACTCGGCTGTCGAGAGGTTTCCGGCTGGGGTCATTGGTGGAAGAACGGATTCCAGTGCCACAACTGTTGGCAAGGGTGTTCCTAGCAATAAGAAGGCAATTAAAGTGTTATTACACACTGTGTCTTACTCTGCTTTTCTGCTAATGGCCAATTCTGTCCGCTTGTATACTGTCTGTCTTTAGCTGAGTCTCAGTTACTGTCTTGTTCCTTGAACCTAGCACTACACCTCCAGAACAGAAAGGAACATTGGATGAGAAGGAAGAGTCACCTATATCCACATACTTATTTCTCCATAGCATAGAACAGTGGTGGTGAACCTATGGCACGTGTGCCAGAGGCGGCACTCAGAGCCCTCTCTGTGGGCACACGCACTATCACCCTAGCCCCACCTTCCCCCGTGGCCCCCTCCTCACCAGCAGCCCCCCGGAGGAGAGTCGCCCCTGGGCGCGGCCCACGCAGAGCAGTGCAGCCAAGGACATGGCAGCTGGGCAGCAGGGAAAGACTCCGCCATCGCACCCCTGTGGCCACCATGGTGCTGTTGGGCCGCCTGGCGATCGGCTGCGGTCGGCCATGGAGGCAGTGGGTGGCTCTGCGGGGGGGCGGGGTGGAGGCAGGAGGGGCGGGGCGGTTTTTGGGCACTCAGTCTCTAAAAGGTTCACCATCACTGGCATAGAAGATCATTTACTCACCGGTCAAAAAAGGATGCTAGTAGCCGCCTGAGAAGTACTTTGTGCCGTGTCCCAGCACTAACATGGCAATTCATCAACTGTGCCCGAGTGATGTACACATTAGTTCCTGAACAGAAACAAAGCCTGTTGTGTACATTCAAACTGTGTACAGGCCAATATAACACCTTATCAAGCAACATATCGAAAGCTTTATGTAATGGACAAAAGATAATGCGGTTAAGGTGAGATTCATCCCATTTCTTGCTACTTCCAATATTGTGATGCCACATAGTGGTTTGGCAAACAGACCACTTCACTTGATAGCTTTGATCCAACCAAGTCAGCTACACACAGGACTTCTGTAGTACGGCACACGATCTGTTTGGGAATCACATCTGTGGCTAGCAATTTTAGTGGCTTACAGATATCCAGAGGACAAAGTCAAACCTGAGCAAGAGCCTTGAAATTTTAAACACATAGAATTGCTTGCAAAAAGAGTATTTTGCTGGGCTGGAAGAAGCCTGTATTTTGGAAACCCATTCCTTAGATCAAGTGAGGAGTAAAGCTTTTGGAATGAGCACAGGCAAGAACTGCTAATATGACTAACTGAACTGGGGCACTACTTTTCCTACTCAGTGCTGGTCACCAATCAATAGGTGGTATCTCAGTTCCTTGTAGGACAACGGAAAGCCATAAAGACCGATTAACAATATGTCACATTCAGAAACTATACACATTAAAAAGTAATGATGGAGTTCTTTACAAATCATTTTAACTGATGCCACTGAGCATATCTACAAGGATGAAATATTGATCTGCTCTGGATGAGCTACCCTCACAACTAATTGGACTCCAAGTCCATATTCACATGTACAAATTACACCCATTTCAGTAGAAAAAAACCAGGCATAATTTTATCTTGCTATTCATTTTCCTCAGATCTCTTTTCCATGGCTCAGTATTCTGACATATAGAAGGTGCCATAACAAGTAATGCTAATACTCTTTCCTTTTTTTAAAAAAAATTGGGAATTAAAGGCATCTTTAAATAACGTTAGCCCAAATTTTTGACTCTGTTGTAACGTAACAATCAGGATTGCTTTTCATTTAGACAAAAAAAAATAATCCCCCCAAAAAACAGAATGAATTTTATGCAGGAGGCAAGCAAGATTTCTCCGATTTACTGAAATCAGTTTCAACCCTAAGTAGTCCTACCTATCACAAGTTCCAGTTTCTCAGCCGGATCACCCTCGTCATACAGCTTCGGATGGCATCGGTTTCCAATCTGATTGATGAGCTCTGCAGGCAGTGAAGCTAGGTCCTGTCGCACTCGTATCCGGTTACGAGACTCTGACTGCACCTGATCTGGCAGCGCTTCTACTTTTTCTGCTGAAAAACGGGGGGGAAAAAAAAAGGGCAGGAGGAAAATTGGAGAAAGCGGTGAACGGATATGAAAGCCATTCTTCTCTTTGAAATGTTTAAATTCTGCAACTACATTTGCAACCTGCTCTTGAAGAGTATTCTTAAGCAAGTCATTTAAAGATCTCCTTGAACTCAGAAACCACTGCATCCTTTTGTAAAAAAAAAAAAAAATGGAATTGCAACAGCTACCTCTTCCTCTTCCAGGAGCAGAATGTCTTTTAAGAGCCTATGTTTCAGTCCCCTTTCCATAAAACATGGTAGTCTGGCTGCATTCCCTCATTATGTCAAGGAAGGCAAAGATGTGCAATGCTGACACGGGGGGGGGGAGAAAATCCACTACCGCTGGATTTGTTTATTCATCTCAAGCAGCGATTGCTATTCATCCTCCTCCTCCTCCTCCATATTTATAGGGCACATTCTCAAAGTGTTTCACAAACTTTTCCGTACCAAGGGAGTGAATGCTGAAGACTGGGAAGCAATCAGGCAGGCTGAAAAATTGCAGCTTTTCTACGGTGATTGGACCCCTCAATACTTATTTTATTCTTTATTTTTTAAAAACAAGTCATACCCTATTTTTTTCTCAGTGTAGATATGAGTGCAATACTTTAAAGCAGTGTTTCTCAACCTTGACAATTTTAAGGCATGTGGACTTCAACTCCCAGAATTCCACAGCCAGCATTGCTGGCTGTGGCATTCTGGGAGTTGAAGTCCACATGCCTTAAAATTGTCAAGGTTGAGAAACACTGCTTTAAAGCTATCTACAAAAATAAATTAACAAAAAAATAAAGGACATATGGTGCAGCAGCTGTGAAGCAAAAAAAACTTGTCAAAGGCTGAAAACAAGGAAAGTTCTCAGTTGCCTCTTAACACAGATCACATGGCGTGCTTAAAGCACCTCAGAGGATGCAACCCCCAAATATTAAAAGTTAAAACAGAGAAAGACTTACTAGTTGTACAGATCAAGCTGGCCCAATCTCGGTAAGGTCTCTTCCGTCAACCCCCGAGACTGGGTTACTTGGGCTATTGAGCCTTTTAGGTATAAAAAAAGAGAGAACTGCTTGGATTTGGGTAGAATACGAACAAGCAAGTTGTGGATGGCCCAAATGTATACATTACAGAGGAAGGCTAGCTCAGGCCTGTCAATAGGTGACAAGAATCTTCTGCACTATACTATTTCCAGCATTTCTGAATTTTCTTTGAGGGCAGCCTTGCTAGTTCTGTTTATAAGTCACCAAGGCAGAAGTGACAACTCTTGACTTTGCGAAGCTTAAACCTGTTGCTATGATTTCACTTTTCAGCAGACATTTTTTATTACTTGTATTTCAGAAGACCTCCCAATCCCTGAGCAGAGAAGTCATGAAAAGGTCCAGAACACCCAAGTTCCCTTCGTCACGGTCATAGCATTCTGGTTTGATATTCAAAGTTGCAGTTTGTCCCTGTCCCTTACTTGATGTGTTCAGGTGGAGGCTGACAGCCCTCTGTTATGAATAATGGCTTCCTGCATTAAGCAAGAAATTCACCTTGATGGCTTACCTTGTCCCTCCCTGTTTTAATGCTATGAGCAAGAGAACAAAAGTCACCCGCAGAAAAAAATATCTAGCAAAATATAGGCCATGAAGCTTGGCCTCAGAGTATGGACTCAAAGCCTTGGTTAGTCTGTTACTTTCAAATATACCTTCACTTTATAAATATTATTCATACCATTCCTCTTGGCTGACATCATTGTTAATATTTGGAGATTTATTTCTAATTATTCCTAGTCTAAAATCCTCCTTCACACTTCTCTCTCTCACGTACATAAAAACAAATCCACAAACAAACACATACAAAATATATCAGAACACACCCACTTGTTTCATATTGGTCAATTGCAATATGCACAAACATTCCCTCATGTCAGGAATCAAAAATAGCTGTGGATTCCCTCCCCCCCTTTTGTTCTATTGTGTCCTATTCTTGGAAATTCCCTGGATATGTCCTTGCAGTTTTCTTGGCAAACTTTTTCAGAAGTGGTTTGCCATTGCTTTCTTCCTAGGGCTAAGAGAAAGTGACTGGCCCCAAATCCACCCATCTGGTTTTGTGCCTAAGGCAGGACTAGAACTCACATTCTCCCAATTTCTAGCCTGGCACCTTAAACACTATACCAAACTGGCTCTCCAGCTGGATACCCACTACACATTTCTGCTGTCCATAGGACTCAAAGAGAAGTATAGTCATGTCTCACTTTTTAAACAACAGAAGCGAACATATTCAACATGTATCGGCTTTGGCAATAAATGTAAAGTTAAGCAGACAATATGCAAAGCTGAGATTCAAGGATTCTGTTGTCATGCTTACTATCCAACCTACAAGATCTCCCTTGCCTCTCATCTCTGTGAATATTCTGATCAAAACAGGAGTGGAGCACAATACATTCCCTTTTCCTTTGTTTAAAGCAAGCAGAACACAGTCACAATGCTTTTTAACAGTCCACATGGGATACTCACCCGCCTGCCCTACATTCATCATGCTGTACATTGTGTACATGTTGCAGATTTGTCGGTACTGCTCATCGGAGCCTTCCTCGGGTGCATCTTCCTCTTCATCTTCTTCATTGTGATAGGAACTGGGGCTGTCACTGGTGTAGGCACTGGAGGTGCCAGGGCTTGTCTGATCTGAAGTACTGGGGCCGCTGACCACGCCTGCCCCTCCACCTCCCCCCGTTAGTGCTGCCTGTTGTTGCTGCTGCTGCTGAGCCTGTTGCTGTTGTTGCTGCTGGACCTGTTGTTGTTGTTGTTGCACCTGCTGCTGAGCCTGCCGGCTCCCCCCGCTCAACTCTTGCTGGGAGGAGATCTTGGCCATTTTGCGGCTGCCATTACTGCCGCCACTACTCCCTTCCTTCTGGCTGCTTTCCCACAGCCTCTTAACCACAAATGTGCATTGGACAGAGTCTGACTCCTGTTGCTCTGTCTTTACACGAGAGACCAGGGGTAAGGGCGTATTGCCAGAAGGCCAGGTAGATGTCTGTGCCACAGGGCTCTGTGGCTCAGATGAAGGCGCCTCCTCAGTGTGCAGGCCTTGCGAGTCACAGCTGGGTGAGCTGACCTTCAGGAAGAACTCAGTCCCTTTTTCCATAATCTCCTGGATCTGCAGGAACCCTGCTGTGTACATGAGCAGAAACTGATCACCCACATTCATGCTTAGGCGGCCAGTGTAGCAGAAACTAAGGATCTGCTGAAAGGATTGAGGCTGCACAGCGGCAGGAAGCTCCACCACAGTGCTCTTGCTATTGTTGAAAAGGTCCCGGAAGTAACAACTGCTTGCAGCCAGCACAGCCCGGTGTGCCTTGAAAGCGTGGCCTTTCACCACCACTGAGACATCACAATATAGCCCCTGTAACCGCTGCTCATTCAGGCATTCCAAGATGCTATTACCAAAGTTGGGGATCTCCATCTGGAGAAATTGAGCCATCCTCTTCTCCTCCTCCTCACCCAGATAGGTACGCTGGAAAAGGAATAAGGAGCCAGAGAAGTTAAATGTGGAATGGACATGGAAAAAGAGCAAAGGAAGGAGACTGGGCTAAAGAGAGAGGTCAGCCATAAGTGGACAATTTTTTTGGCAGCCTCAGGTCACGCTTTTAAAAAAAAACAGCTGAAGGCTACAGTGGGCAAGGCCTTGAAGTGGTGATGTCATGCAAACAGAAGAAAGTAGGGTCTGATAGAGCATTTTTAAAAGGTGCTTTTAAATGTTTAAATCAATCTGACAGCTTATACCTTTTTCTTTGGTTTTCTGTTCTTCTTTCTTTCCATCTCCACAATTTGATACTTAGCTGCCAAATTTTGATAGTGTGATCTCCAGGGCCTCTGTAGACCACAAAAAAAGGGGTTCATAGGCCATATGAACCCTAGGACTACACCTTCCATTAGGAAGGTAGCAGAGATGAAGTAGTCCACGCAATCAACCATTTTACACGCTCATTCTAGAAATGGAAGCGTCAGCATTAGGTCTTATATCTTCCTCCAGTTTTCAATAATCAAAAGCACTAAGTCATTCATTAAAAACATTGTGTATTGTATAAACCCAAACCTTTGACAAAATGTAATTAGGCCCTACTTTAACCAGACTCCTACCCACGGTTAGGCATCAGTTTACTTACCTTGTTCATATCCATAGAATTAATTTGAGATTAGCCTGCATTCCTAACCGTCAGCAAAGAGGTGGGAAGTCTAGAGCAACTGTAAAATGAAGCTGTTATTTTTGTATCATAGCTCCTCCACCTGCCCTTCTGAATAAGCATGGGTGGATGGTGATGAAACAGGGAAGAGAAGAGAAATGGGGGAAGACCATGACACCTTTTCCCTTCTTACTGTAAAGAAGCAAACAAACTAGAAGGTGATAGGATATCAGCCAGTACAAAATGGGCCGAGATGCTATCAAAAGATGGCTGCAAACTATATAATTAAGGCCACTATCGATTCCATTGGTCATCTGGAGCCAAAGCACTTAAGTGTAAACCATTTAGCTTAATGAGCACCAGAATGAGGTATAGCCAAAATAATTTCACTTTCAATTATACACAGACAATCTGCTTTATAAACTGTTTTGCTAGTGGTTTTTTTTTTCTTTTTACGCCCCTGTAATTCCTTGCTTCTGGGTAGGGTTGGGGCATCTGAGTGGAGCTGAGTGTTTACCAGCTGGATGCCCTTCCTGATACCTAAGCAGAATTCACAGCAGATATTTTCTCTTTGTGCCCTGATAGAGAAACATCTGTCACTGCCTAGGATTGAACTTTCAACCTTCCGTGTGGGAGGTGAGCGTCTTCACCTCTAGGCCACTGCACCACTCTACTTTACTAGTAGCTTTTTTTGGTAACTTAATTTATTTTTCCTAAGACACTTTGACCTGAGGGAATTATTTAACAAATATTATAGCTAGCTAGCTAGCTAGCTACATTGGATTTGTCTGCAAGCATGAAATCTAAAATGGTTCCAATATTTGCCACATTTGGGGTACCTTTTAAGACTTCTGTAGCAATTAAAGCAACCAGAGATAATAGTATATGTAGTCCATTCTTGTTTTGTGATTTTCCCTTTTTTATAGTGTTCTGATGTCATTTAAACAGAAAACAGCATGCGAAACTTCAGAGTTCGAGTTTCTTCTTTTGATATTAATGAACATTGCAGGAGTTATGGAAAAAGGAAAGATTTAAGTGTAGCTTTTTAGTAATCTTGGTTAAAAACAATCCAAAGTGACAGCACTAGGATTGTGCTGAAGTAAATATGGCAGCTTTGCCACTGTAAAATAACTACGCATAATAAACAGGTTGTAATCCAGCAGCAATGGTGATCTGCAAACCCAGTAAAGCTTCCTACACCTATTACCTCCAGAAAGGGACAGGCTCTTATGAGCATATCGATCTTCCCCGATAATAGCTCAGAGAACTCTAAATCATGGCACTGTCTTTTTAGGACAAACAATGTGTGTGTCAGAGATAAGATAACACCATGAATGTAAATGAAAGCCTGAGCTAAAAACAGACAAAACGGGGTTTTTTATTCCCACATACCATTCGCAACTGGAGGACAGATTAATGCTGGGTGGAATATTAAATATCAAAAAATTAATGGTGGTCGTTGTTGTCCGTTATTCTTTTACTGGAGAGACAGACCCTCACTAGGGATACTACCTGCTCAAAAGTTTGCTTTTTAAATGTTCCTGCTGCAAATCATACATAGGAGAGAAATTACTCTGCAAGGAATGACAATGCAGCTGAGGACACAGAATAGGTTCACAATGGGCTGTTGCCTTTAAAAATTCCCAATTCTACAAAAGGCTTGGGTGTGAAAACAGTGCTTTACAGTTATTTGAAGATGGTTGGAGCAGAACAATACAAAGGGATAATCCTCCCCACAGAGACTTTATTCAGAACTCTGGCACTGGAAGTGACTAAGATTTCTGCTCCATGTTCAGATAACACCAGGTAAATGCCTCCCTCCATCCCCCAAAGCTTTAAAACTGCTAGCAATTTTTGGTGGAAGATATAAAGAGGGAGAAAATAAAAATCGTTTAGGCAGCTTTTTACAAAGCAGTACTGAAATATTCTCAATATGAATTTGTAATGGAGTAGACTATCAGTTGTTTTCAATGGAACATTTATCAGAATGGGACAAACATTCACACATTTTGAATGCTGAGTATTCAACCTCTTAAAAAATTCAGTTTTAATTTATTGCAGTAGAAGTTTCTGAGATGACAATTTGCTGAGGAATGCAGGACACCCACCAGAAGCATAAGCATATTTTGCAAATAGAAGATCCTGTCAACCATTCGATAAACTTCTGGTCTTTATCCTTTTTTTAACTTAATCAAGCATAGATAAAAATATCTAATAATAAACAAAGATATAAAGGCTGAGGACTACATATGGGATGAAAAGCAAGGCTTCCATTCCAAAAGTATCTTTGTGCTGTTTCTATGATAGGAGAAAAATCTCAGCGGGAAGGAGGAAAATAGAGTATCATTTGCAGTATTAATTCAATCACCTAACAATGTTCTCAAAATGATGATCATGATTCTAAACCCCAAATTGATGCCCTTGAAAACAAGAACTTCAGCTTCTGCGATTCCCAGCAATGGCCATGCTGGCTCTGGGTTGAAGTCTACACTTCCAGAAGGTACCAAATTGGGAAAAGTAGATCTATATACTATAGCAGTGTTTGTTTATTACACCAACAGGAATTATGAATCTTTCAAATTAAAATGTTTGCACAAGAACTTTACTTTACAACCCATGAAAACATACACAACTTTAAATCTGTCAATGGTTAAAATGCAAAGATTATTTCTACTACAGATGAAGCTACAATTTAGTTCCCTTCACAGGTCTGAAAGTAGCCAGAATTTAAATATATTCTTTACATTTAGTTAAGCATCCTATGTTACCAAGTGGTTAAATATGGTATGTATCTACATATGATATTGGCCAAAGGAAAAAATATACTGATTAAGACATCATTATAAGCAAAATTTAAAATATCGAAGTCACTATTTAAAGCACAATAACTTGAGAACTACTATGTTTAAAGTGGGAACATTTTTAGTAGAAGAAAATACTGAGAAATGATTATGTATAACTTGAGAAATAAGCTAATTATATAGACAAATTTATTATTGACATGTATTAAAGTGGAATGAATAATTTCAACAGTTGCACAGTTTCTCTTATTTACTGCATTCTTCCCTATCCTTTCTTCCAGCCACCAGTATTACTTTCCTTTTCTTTTTTCTTTTGAATAGGCATCTAGAATTTGACGTGAAAAAAGGGTTTGAGGGAGAAATTGATCATCTTTTTTTGGGCACCATAATTGGAAGTGTGTCATTGGCTTAGAAGCCTTCCACTGTGAAAAGGCAATCATGATTATTATTACATCACATTACAAATGATCCTTATTTACAACCTATGTTGATCATGATAACATTTGTGAAGTACAAGTATTACGATGTATTGTTAACCCGCATGATTTTTATATAGAGTTTTAAAAATGATTTTATCCTGAATGTTTGATTTTCAATGATCAATACTATACAAACATGTCGTTCTTTTAATACTACCATTAAAGAGGATATGAACAAGAGAACACAGAAACTATGGACTTCTTTCATTAAGGAATGTATTTACAGCTTGAACTTTAAATAGGTACTTCAATTAAAGCTGACAAACTACACCGTTTATTCTTAAGTAAACACAATGAATTGGGTGACCAACATTCACATCTTGGTTAGATATCTGACACTGTGCCATTTTTATACCACTTTCCATTGCACAAGTTCTAAGGAAAAATGTTTAAAGAGCCCAATGGAAAAAAAGTATAGGCACAAGCAGTTTTGTTACCTGAGTATTATATACTATTTTGGGTTTCAGAAAAAGTGCACTAGAATAAAACCTCTTAGATTACAATAGCAAATATATACTGTACCTCCATTTTATCTTTTTAACCAGCTGCCTCATACTTTCTATGTTAGTTTATTTAAAGGGCTATAGACATATGAAAACTTTGAAAAAGACAGTATAGCTGTCAGAACGCTGCCTGTCAAAATTTCTGGCTAAAGATGATTATTCTGCTGAGATGAATATAATTACAATGGAAAGAGCTGGGGGATGGAACCAAACCATTAAACAAAACAGAGGTTCTGATTTATTTATTTTTTGCGGGGGGGGGGGGGATTCCCTTCCAATCTGAACCATTGTTTTCTCATAATTGTAAAACGAAGCCAAGTAGTTAAGTGTTCCATCTTTCCTACGTATGTTTTTATTAAGTTTCACTATGTCAGAAAACTAAGCATTTTAGCTATGTTACAGTTCAGCTACTGCTTGTATTCTTGAGGGAAGAAGGATAAACAGGGTGGAGGACAATTAGTGCCAAGTCAAAATATGCACATGGAAGGTGGCAAAACAGATTATATGTTATAAATTATTTTCT